TACGATCAAGAAAGCGTTTGATTCTTTGGCTTCCCTGAAACACTGTCTAATTTTGCATTAGAGAAACAGAAGCTTATACAATCCTAATTCTAATCCTACCAAGTAATTACTGTTTTCCTCCCTCTGGCTTAATTTCTGAAGTTATTCATAGGAAGACTGCAATGTGACCAGGAGAGCTGGCTAGCTTTCTCACAAGATGACTCAGTACATTACCTTGGACGTTTTATCACATAGTCCAGGATCTGGCCCTCGGGCTTTCACATTTAGAAACCTCCTGTTACCTTAGCAGATCCACGGTAACCAACTTCACAAAATGCCAATTTATTAACTTACCATTATGAATTCACAAGTATCCCACAGATTAGCATGACTGCTGCATGCTTTCCCCATATACAGATCTACACGTGAAACCAAACTATATCCAGAGAGCTGGTGATACAGAAGCAGAGTTAGTTGCTGGGAGTCCTTCTCTAATATGAATGATCTGGACGTAACATATGAACAGGCCCTTAACATACGTGAAGTCTCACTGGCCATCACTCCTCCTCCCTGGAACTCAGATGAGCCCCACCCAAACCTGCCTCTGTGTCTCTTCCCTGTAGATCACTGGAAGCAGCAGAGCTGTTCGTCCCTCAGACCTTCGGTCAAGCCTTGCTCAAACCTAGAAATAATGCTGCCTTCTAAGGTGACTTGATTATGTTTGCTCTGATCAGTTATGTGCAGTATTGATTGTGCTTTCAGAAAGTGACCTTATTTCCCTTATTTCCAAATTTTGGGGGGAAATTATATAGTAGCTCCCAAGTAGGAAAGAATTTGAGGTAACAAAAAATAATTATCTGCACTGCAGCTTTGGAAATAAGGCTTCTGAACGGCCACTGCCCTATCCTAACAGCCTGAAGAAATTTATCAGACTTACTGAGTTATAAGACACCAACTTTATATTTATACATTTGGGGGAAAAATCCTCTAATATACTTACTTCATCTTTACTTCTGTAAAAAACTGATCATAACTTAAAAAATTCTGCAGGGCAAGCGAAGGGGCTCGATGTGCATCAGCACAGTTGAGGAGGTTGTGCAGCAAAGTGACAAGAGAAAATCGTCCACAGGGCCCTATAGAACCTGGTTTGTCTCTTCCGTGTCACAGTGACTGATACCACTGACTGTGCTGATTAGAAAGGCTACTCAAGGGAAACCAATGACAAGGACTCAGAAAGGTTTAGGAGAAAACTCATAGCAAGCCACTGGGAATAAATGTGGAGGGAAAAAACGTGAATTTTTGGCAAGTGATGGAGCAGAAATCAGAAAAGAATTAAAGTGCAGTGTTTGGGGATGGGTGGGGAAGTTGTAATCTGAAGCTGAAAAGGAAAAAAAGAATTTCTCAGTATCATTTCCTCTGAGTGCTAATGGGAAGAAAGATTGTTTTTCTAAAACAATAAAAAAGCATTATCAAAGTAAAGTTTTCATAATAGCATAAAGGGTCAATGCTGTTGAAGTGAAAAATATTAGCGCATGCTTGTTTACTTTGTCTGGGTTCAATGACTCAAGTCATTAAAGCTGCAGAGGAGGGCGGCACTTATCACCTGAGTTGACGGGAGGGTTTCGGATAACACCAGCAATAATCTTCTGAACCTCTGGAGTCAGTCCTGCTCGCTCCAAATCTAGGGGGTAGCCAGCTTTCACCGCTTGGGATAAATGCATGGCAACTGTTTTGAGAGGCAGAATCCTGATCTCAGCTACACGATTCTAGAGAAATAACAGCAAAAGAGCCAGGCAGTTTTTAAAAGTTTCCACTGTACTTCATGGGGAAAAAACATCCAAAATGTTCGGGTCATAAACGTTCCCTGAGAAATAAACAATGGACTAAACCTTCACTTAATTTTTTCATTTTAACAATTTCTTTAAAACTATCCACACATTATAAACCTCCACAGGATCTACTTTTTATACTGTATTATACTGTATTGAATAAACCAAAATCACCCAGCTTTAGCTAAGAATTCAATCCTCATCCTTCTCTAATTATTCACTTTACATGCAATTAGTGGCAGAGAAAAGTCATTCTATATAAGTCTGACAGCTGTCACAACCTTTTGAAAACATAAGTAAACTATCGTCCAATATTCGATATACTTGAAACAACACATGGTGCTTTGGTTACGTGAATTTCCAAGAAGGCGAATCCTAAAATGCTTAGTGATAACATGAGGCTCCAGATGCATTCTGTAAAAGGTTCTTGAAGATTTTAATAGGTGTTTTAAATTGGCTCTACTCGTAACAATAACTACAATTTCACAAGGGCTGTCACTACTGAAGATGAATTGTTTAAATTTAGGATAGTGCTACATATTTATACAGCTTTTTAAACAAATGTGGCTCCAAATACATTTTACGTATTAGGTAAAACATTCTTTTACTCAGTTCTAACTTATTTCATGATACTCTCTTCCGCTACATTTCGAAAGTCTGAATTTAGACCGTATTTGTGAGAATGTTTATTGTTTCACAGAATAGTATATAAGGCCTTATTTTCATCCTTCAAAGGTAGGTTTTAAATTACTTTCATTAAATGTCTACTCTTTTCTACCAGAAAGTGTGCACCATGTGTGCATAATGTCAGGGTTATTTGATACCAGGCATCAAATTACCTTTAACTAACTGTATTATTGCTCCTGATTAATTAGTCCTTAGGCATGTTTAATTTTGTGGTTAACTGGCAAGATCCTCTCAGACTCCCAGGAGGCACAGATAATTACACCATCATATTAACAGTAAAATACAACCAAATAAGACCAAAAGACACAAATGAAGATATACCATTCTTCACATGTTCAACCATGAATATACAATATAACATATGAAACCTCATATTATGGCTATCAAAATGTACTTTATTCAGAAAATTTGGAGTCAATACCAAATTTTCTTAATAACTCTATTCAGTTCTACCATACATGCATGGTCAAATTATGTACATACGGGCATATTTAACATGTACGTATAAGTCACTATATGAGAAATTGAACCTAAAATTCCTATTTATCACATGTTTTATTTCAAAAATAGTATCATGGAATTATCTGATTTCTTGGGTAATGGCCTTTGTAAGGAACTTTAAGAAATTTGACTAATTACAACATTCAGTAAGTAAGATAAGCTATGGCCCTTCTATTTTTATTTATTTTCAACCTTATCTGAATAAAGAATGTGTAATGTAGCATAGTGGATGGAGGCACAGAGAACAGAAAAAGCCGGCACTGGATCATATAACCTGTTCCAAATCAATTTAATATCACAGAGGATGGGAATTCAAATTAGTTAACTTTAGCTAGAGGCCTCATTCTGCCCCTATTCCACTAAGATATACTCTCTATTTTGTATACAAAAAAACCTCAACAGCCTTAAGTATGGTCATTTTTTATAGTAATTAGATTTTTTTCAAAGAGTATCAGGCACAGTTAAAAAAAAAAAATAGTACTACAGGATACAGAATGAAAAGCAAGTTTTTTAAAAACTTATTTCCTGTGTTTTGGATATCCGTATGTACTTTCTATACATATGCACGAAGATGTGAATATACAAGCATGCATATATATACATACATATACATTTGCGTTTGTTTTTCACACCGTTTTTCTTTTGACTTAATGTATCTTCAAGATTGTTTAATAGCACATATACTAATGATTTTTAAAAAACAGGACTAATAGTTAAAAAAACTAAGTTTTAAAATATGGCTGCTGCAATATCCCTGAGCTATGTGTTTATAGTACCTCTGATACAGCCTCTATAAGATAATCATGGTCAAACTATATTTACTGCTATTACTTAACTGACAGAGAGGTAGGCTTAACAAAAAAGGAAACAACATTCTGTTTTAAAGATAAAATGAGATGTACTGTAGGGTTAGAAGAAACTGATCCCAAGTTACACCTTTAACATTAAAAAGCTGGTAAAACACAAGCATAAATAAACTAAAACTTCTCCGTAACTTGAAAGTAACACTTACCACAGACATCTTCTTTTTTTGGAATAAAGAATAAGTGATCATCGGAGAATGTGAAAATGAGTATTTTTTCTTCTGTTCTTCTTGAGGTTTTGTACTTGAAAAGAGGTTTGTCTACAGAATTTTAAATATAGCACAAATGATCAACAATATCAATATAATAGCATATAAATATGATCCTTAGCCATTAGGGGAAAAAAAATAACATACATAAAATCTCTCAGTAACAAAGAATTCTCTTTTTAGAGGAGCTCAAAAAGAAGTTGGATTGTTTAATATATTAATTTAAAAAGGTAGAATAATGCTAGAGAATAAACTTTTAGTAAAGTATTTGTAATAAAAAACATTTTCTAGTCTTCTCTTTAGCTAATAAGAAGGAATAAAAAAGGAACTATAAGCTGGGAGCAATAGTTCAAATGCCTATAACCATAGCACTTTGAGAGGCCACAGCAAGAGAAATCGCCAGGAGTTTAAGGCCAGGAGTTTGAGACCAGCCTGGGCAACAAAGCAAGACCCAGTACCTAAAAAAAATTTTCTTTAATTAGCCAGGCATTGTAGCTTACACCTGTAGTCCCAGCTACTTGGGAAGCCGAAGCAGGAACATCACTTGAGCCCAGGAATTCAAGGTTACGACGAGCTATAATCGGGCCACTAGCCTAGGCGACAGAATGACAGCGACAGACTCTGTATCTCAGAAAAAAAAAAAAAGGAACTATAATATAGTATGAACCACTCTAAATTAGTATCCTAATCCCCTGGAAGTGAATACTGAATGAATCGAATAAATTGAATCTATATTCAAATTTAGGTACTATCACCACAAATTCTGCTAACATAGCATAAGGAAACAGATTATAACCATGTAGAGGACTGTCCAGAAAGTATCAGCCATGTGACCTCTCTCGTTATATTAACGATGGCTGGACAGCCCTCGTGTATATGTGTGTGTGTATAAATGTAAGTGTATAAATTGGAAAGCAAATACAGTAATTTACAGTGAGGCATGTAAGTGGAAAGTCTCACTTGGCCCAGTGTGTTTTGTCCTAGCAAGCTTAGAAGAATATAACAAGGGAACTTCTTATAGTGTCTTAAGTAGTCTCTTAATTATAAAAGTAGGTTCAGGTATTCTCTTTGGCAATTAAATACAATACTTAAATCCAGTTAGCCAAAACATCTTCTCATCCGGATACTGCTTAAGTGCTGCCTACTTTTGTCCTTATGCCTTTCTTATTTGAATGTTTCCATAACTAACTACTCTCTGTCCAGTCTATGTTTTTATTTTTTAAACATATTCAAAAGGCAAAAGAATGATAAAATGAGCCCCCATGCATGTACCACCTAGTTTCAACAACTGTCATTCATAACCAGTCTTGTTTCATCCATACCTTCCCGCATTCACCAACTCTCCTACGCCTACCCCTAGATTTTTTGACACATAATATCTGTACATATTTATGGGGTACGGGTAGTCTTTTATCTACATAGAATATAATTTGATTAGATTTTTGCTCACTACCATCACACCATCACTATCATCACATTCTGGCCCTGTCATCTTCAGATTACTTTGAATTACTTTCCTGAGTATTTTGGATATTCCTAAACCCTTTAGTTGGACATTTATACATGACATCATCTTTTTGTCCCATAAATCCTAAAATCTGTACGGATTTGCCAAAATTTATGATAGTATTTAAGTTTTACTTCAAAATTTAAAAAAATATATTTAAAAGCCAATGAAACTGATAAATAATAAAACTTGGGCTTAGTAAATTAGTGTTTGTTAATTTCTTTAATAAATGGTTTCAATTTGCAGAATAATATAGGAATAATTCCTCATCAGAGAAATCAGTTATTTTATCTACCCAGAAGGCTCGTAAAGGTTTCATATCTATCCTTTGAAGCATTTATTTTTTGTCATCCTCCTTCAGTTTCCTCTCCTGAAGGGAAGTTGGGAGAGATAATTCATTCGCTGTTAAATAATACCACTAATTTATGAAAGAAGATACTACCATCAAGTATATAAAAGAGAGGGAACTTATTCAATTACCGATGGTAGGTATGGTATTATTTATCAAATCATTCAGATATCATAATTTCATTTTCAAAATATCCACATGGAATATAAGGAACTTTCACATGATGCCTTGTACAAGAGTATAAAAAAGAAAATTTAAAGTTGCCAAAGATATTCTATAGCAAAAGAGGGAAATTATATATATTATAAAAAAAGCAAAAGGGTTTTCTACTTAGAGAACGATTTTTCTAAAGCAGAATCCAACTGTGCCTGCCCAAAGCTTAACAGGAGGTTCTTAGAAGTAAAAAGCAATCCCATAATACTGTCTTGAATGCATTTAATTCTTCCAGCTTTTCATAGGTGTCTCATGTCTTTTATCTTTCTAATGTCATCCTTATTTCCTTGATGCAGGGGAAGGAAGTATCATTTTCATTGTGTAGGTAAAGAAATGGAGACCCAAAGAAGTTAAAGATGTTCAGGCTCATCAGGCAAACTACATAGAGAAGCACTAAGATCCTGATTCCCTGATTCTGAGTCCAGTAGTCTTCCCACTACCACACACTGCCTCACCTTCTGTGCTGGAGTATACAGCATAGAGTCTGCACGTAGACTTTAAAGAAAAACCCAAACGATCCTTATGCAAATGGTCATTTATGGTGGGGCAAGAAGTAATAAAAGGATATGAAGGAAATGCTATTAAGACTAAAGAGAATAACATGAAATCTATTTAATATCAAAAGACAGCATTACTGGAAGGGGAGGCTAATTAGAGAATATACCAAAAAATAAGAAACAGAAAATAGCTGAGCTCCTTACCAACTGATAGAAATTAAAGCTGCAAAGTTATCCTTGCTAACTACCACATTTCAAAGTAAAAGTTGGAATTTATCAACCTAAAATACAGTATGCAATTTTTTCCCTGCAAGACAGGATCTCACTGTCTTGCCTTGGATAGAGTGCAGAGGCACAATCATAGCTCACTGCAGCCTCGAAGTCCTGCGCTCAAGCGATGCTCCTGTCTCAGCTTCCTGAGTAGCTGAGACTACAGGTGCATGCCTCCACACCTGGCTAATTTTTTAAAACAATTTTTTTAGAGAAGGGATCTCACTATGTGGCCCAGGCTGGTCTCAAACTTCTAGCCTCAAGCGATGCTCCCACGTTGGCCTCCCAAAGTGCTGGGATTATAGCCATGAGACACTGCACCTGGCCCTCATTCAAATTTAAAAACAAAACCTCCCAATGACATAGAAAGACACGAGCAGCCTGGACAACTCCTTTAGTATCATCTTTAAAAGTAGGTCACTGACATGTTTTTCACAACAGATTTACTGTAGAAACCATCTGAATTCATTTTCTAAATGTCCAGTATGGAAACGCAAATAAAGGGAGAAAATGTTGCCTTTGAAGGATGCTTTTGAAATGGTAGAAAAATGCTAACTCTCTAAAAGTTCCTAAAAATCACAGTATTTTACCTGAACATTATTTACTTGGCAGAAATGTTTGATGACTTCCAACAGAGGGGTCAACATAGTAGCTTTGCCTTCAGAAACACCATCGATCTTTTTTAGATTTTCAACCGTAGTTGGTCTGTGTTTAAAAAAACAAAAAAGGTCAAGAAACCACTGAAACAGTATCACTCCAGCAACAGAGCTGATGTTCAGCTCCATACTGAAACTCAATCTCAATAAATGTACATTTTTTTCCAACAACCAAAACCAATATATAATACAAGTAATCAAGTTTTATAATTTCTTTCTTTGCTTTCCACGATTTAAAGACTTGCTGTTTCAACAATTCATGAATAAAAACACGACTGTCTCCTTCACCAGAAAAACACAATACTAACTGGTAAACAGGCCATTATCATAAAGGAACAGGCTAACATCAAACGTTCCACTCTATTACTGATTTTATTATTTTTATAGAAATGAAAAGGAAAACTATGGGGCTAATGGGACAACTAAGAGGCTAGGAAACTCTCATTTAACAGTAAACCTGCTAACTATACTTCAGTCTTTTAGCTCAATATTTCTCATTGTTATTTCTTATTGTGTCCAATATGCAAGAGAATGTATGATGTCTTCTTTTTAAAAGTCTGCCAATCTAATGATTATTTTTTGCTTAAATATCTTCTCTGAATATTAAAGTATAATCTTAGAATATTTATTTTTAACAAAATAACTTGTAAAATATAAACACTCTGTAATATCACTGGAATAGTCTGCACTAAAGTAACATTGGGTGAAATTTAGTGACAGGAACAATTTTTTAAAAAGCATATAATTACCAGAAAAAATTTTTTACAAGAAAGAATACAATTACCAAGCAACTATTCTTTGGAAATAATTTCTTCTAAATATTTAATGACCACTTAGTGTTTTTTCAGAATTGTGCTAGGTGCTGTGGGAAACACAGAGAGATGAGGAACTAATGTCTTTATTCTGAGAGTTTAAATCTAGAATGTACAATACATATTTACCACTAATCACAAAAAAATAAAATATAGCATTGTGTCGTAAGTGCCACAGAAGCATCTTTAGAATTCATCTAAAAGTCCTTTGTAAATTCAAGAGAAAGGAATTACTTTGCTGATAAGACCACGGAAGACTTCATGGAGGAAACAGTAATAAAGCTAGATTTTGAAGGAATTCTTAAGAGGAGTTTTGAGGAATCAAGGAAACCAGGAAGAAGCAACACTGCAAATAAATACCCAGAAGGTGAAAAGGGCCTTCAACAACAGTAAACAAAATTATTCCACATTCTGTGACATAAATGGAAAAGTAGGTTTAAGTCCCTAGATGGAGGGCCTTGAATTCTAAGCTAAAGAAGTTAAGACTGTGAGAAACAATTTAAGCAGAAGTACATGATAAAGGAAGGTTAATTTTATACTCATGTGTCAGATGAAACAGAGAGCGAGAGAGAGAATTAGTGAGCAGTTAAAAGGCTTTTGCAACAGGCCAGGAGAAACCATTCTAAACTTGGTATCAATGGTGTGGTCTCAACGGTATCACTAAAAAGGAGGAGGAAGGCATAAGACAGATACACGAGGAACATTTAAACAAAAAGATCTGAAAACTATTTAAATGAGAGGAAGAAGGGAATATATGTTAGAGGAGTGAAAATAATGAGAGGTTTTAAACATTAGGAACCTCTGATTAGGAACGTGATGGTACAACTAACAGATACAGAGAATTCAAAAAGAGTTTTGGCGCTTCGGTGAACCACAGGTGTGGAGGGTGGGTAAATAACGGTTAGATTTTATATACACATACATATATATACTGTATCTGATTGCTGAAAATATAGCTGGTTTTCATACATGTAGAGACACGGGCTAACACTCAGCAAAGAGATGAGCACAGCAGCATGAGAGATTTGGAAGTCACCTCACAGATGTGACCGTTAAAGCCACGGTCTTATGTCAGAAGAAAATAAATTGGAACATACACAAAAGATAGTTTACCTCATTTTGGCCATATCCACCAGTATCTTGTTCGTTGCCAGAATAGCTGGAGGAACATCCATCTTATCGCCATGTTTCTGCCTAGCGTCTACCAATTTGCCATATAACACAGTCTGAACAAAAAAAAAACAACTCAACACTTTTTAAAACGTACTTAGAGCCAAACCTTTATTTTTAGAGCTTCACATATCACATTTTCCCTTAAGATGAACATAAACTCAACTCTAACTCGGACTCTTAGCAAAAGAACAATTTTTAAAATACTGGCCACAGAATTTTAAGCATGCACAGAATCATCACTCACTGCTCATAAAATAATTGTCTTTTTACTGTAGCCTTACCTGAGTCTCCTGCTCTTGAGCTGAAATAACAGGTTCTGAAGAAGTGTAAGATTTTTCTGGTGACTGCACCATGATACTGAAATATTTAAAAGAAAATAAATAATAAAAGCTTTTCTTTCTCCTAGTTTACTTTCTATTTCGTTCCCCGGAATATCTTTCCAAGTCAGTACTAACGTTTACTCTTCACAATACCAGTAAGGTAATTTATTTAATGCCAACAGCCTAGATTTTAAACATTTTGGATCAAATATATTCATTATAATCGTAAAGTAAAAATTGCAATTTGAGTTCATCACAAAATTGGTGTGTTTAAAAAGAGCATTTGTCCCA